TCACTGCAGTGGAATCTGTGTGGTCCCCAGAGAGAGAAACTGGAGGAGTGCGGGATTTGCTGATCGGTCACGCAGCCCTGAGGACCTTTCCATGGGGGCTCTGAAAGCAATCCTCTTATTTTAAAAATGAAATCTTTATGAAGCCAATAAAGCATGGATCTGAGGAGGAGCAAATAGCACCTGTAATAAGAAAATTGGAAGTTAAAAAATTTTAAGTTCAAACTGCTTGATTTTCACATTTTTTAGGTTCTTGGTGTTTATACTTTTTGCCTGCCTCTAGATGATAATTTGTTTTGTAGGGCTGTTTAAAATCTCATCGGAAGATGATAATTACCTCCAATGTGGATGCAAATTTATCACTCCTGGGTGATTTCCAAAAAACCCTGTCAGAGCCCATATTTTGTCGGAAGTGAAATACCTGTCATAGAAGGCTTTTCCTGTGCATGACCTGTCAAGACCCCTGAGGGACAGGTTAGACCCCTGCCCAGGAGGGCGGGGGCTGCTGGTCACTGCTGCCCCGTGGAGGGGTACTGGTTGCTGGCATAGGCTTGGCTTGGACCCTGGTTGTACAGTTCCACTTCGGGACCTGGGAGACAGGGAGAGATATCTTCTCACAAGAAAGTTGCAAAGATGAGAAAAACATGTTAAATGTGTTGTGTTTAAGGTGCTGTTTACAGCCTTAATAGAGAGTGAGAGACAAATTTATTCTTTTTCTTACATTACTGATGCCCCAATTTTTTTTGGACTCAGAAGTACTTAACACAAAAAGTACTGAGCCCCAGGAAATGCTCTGTGGGCTATAAGTTACTAGTGTTTGCCTCAGTAAATATTTAGACTGCGAATTAAATGTTTGTGTATCCATTTAAACTTGCCATACTAAGCTCATTATGTTAGTAGGTTTGAATTGTTTTATGAAAAATAAAAATACAAAACAGAAAATTCAGTGTGGATAATGACACTGTTTTACACATTTGCAAGTCCTTTCGGTGTTTTAAAAATGAGTAGATCCTCATCTCCATCTCGACCCAATTTGCAAAGTGCTGTTCTGATGGAAACTTCAGAAGATTTGACTCACACAGCTCCGTGGCTGGAGGAGGGAAGCATGGCACTGTCCTTTCAGGGTGATCTTTGGTTGCCATGGCCTCCGCAGGTGGTGGCTTCTTACGTGTGAGCGCTGTGTGCTCTGCAGCCGGTCTGTGAGCTTCTGCTCCACGACCTCGAATATGTGGGTCTCTCTTGCACTTTTTTTTTGATACAGGGGATGGAACTCAGGATCTTTCACTTGCAAGGCAGGTGTCTGAACGACTGGGCTAAATCCCCAGCCCCTCGCTTGCACTTTTAATGGACCCCTTCTCCCTGTGGGATCCTGCAGGGTAATGCACTGGTTCTTTGAGAAAGGCCCGCCTCCTGTGAGTTACGAATCCTCTGGATGTGGAAGCCCTTCACCCTTCAGTGTCTGGCCTCGCCTGTTCATCTGAAAGGTCCTCAAGTGCCTGGTGCTCACTATCTCTGGGCGTGGATCTGTCTCTGAGTTTCACTTGATGGCTTGAGTCTCCTCACGGGATACCAGATGCTGCCATGTTCTCTGGGGGTGAAGGGCTTGCTTCATTCCCTTCTGAGAAAACACCTGCATAGATCTGTTCCGAATACCTGGAGTCTGCCCACAGTCTCCTCTTGAGGGAAAGGAGTCCCCGAGCAGCACGCCTGCCTCAGCTTTCTGCTGGACAGTGGGGGCTGCTTCTCCTGGACGCGGCCCTGCAGGTGCCCCGTGTCCTTCCTGGCCAGCCCCTGCGGTCACAGAGCTTGGATGCCACTGAGCTTGGATGTGGTGCCGTTGTCCTCTTGCTGCTGTGCATCCCAGGCTCAGTTGCAGCTCCCCTGGTTCCTGCAGGGCCTGGGCTTCCCGCTGGGCTGTTCTCAGGGGAGCCTGGAGTCTCAGGTGCTCAGTCTGTGGGTGCCCAACTCTTCTCAGGTTTGGGGAAAAAGCGTCACCCAGAAGAAGTTCGTCAGTGACTTACTGCGCCAGCAGCGGAGCAGTGCCAGCCAGCAGCAAGGCATGGGGTTGTGTGTGAGGCGGAGGAGACAGACACGGGTCCACACTGCAGGCAGAGACCCTGAAGGCAAGGCTGCGCTCCGTCTACACATAGGTTCCCAGCTCCCGTGTCCTGCCCAGCCTGCGCAGGCAGCTGGCACTTTATCCATTCACTGTCGGGGGACAGGGGTCCGTGCCTGTTGTTTTGCTGGTTTGAAAAATGTAATAAATAATGTTTGGTTTTTCAAGAGCTTCTTGTGTCAAGTTTAAAATACTTGATTTCCTCTTTCTTGTTGTGTGCACTGTTTGTCTCAGAATGATACCACCTGTCCACTGTGGCCTGTGGAAGATACAGTAGGGTAATTTTTTTTTTTTTTCATTTGGTATGGCACTGGGAATTGAACCTAAGGCCTTCACACAGAGCTGTATCTCCAGTCCTTTTTTATTTTGAGACAGGGTCTTGCTAAGTCACTAAATTGGCCATGCTGGACTTGAACTTGGAATCCTCCTGCCTCAGCCTCCCAGAATGCTGGGATTCTGGCCTGTATTACCGTGCCTGTGAACTATTAACATCTATAAGGCTGAAGGAAAGATAGCGTTCATCATCATTCTATTTCTTTCTTTCTTTTTTTTTTTTTGGTAATGGGGATCAAACTTGGGTCCTTGCACTTGCGCAGCAGGCAGCGAAACCAACATTCTATTTCTTAATTGTAATTTTACCTGGTTTCTTTCAAATAGATTCTTTCCTTCCATGAGTCAAAAGATTCTATTACATGTTTCATTTTTTTCAGCATTTTAGATGTGATCAATAACAATTGTAGATTGAGAATTTGTCTTGTAATTGCATTTTGTTGTTGTTGTTGTTTTGTTTTTTGACTCAGGGTCTCACTCTGTAGTTCAGGCTGACCTCAAACTCAGTGATCCTCCTGCCTCAGCCTCCTGAGTGCTGGGATTACAGGCGTGCACCAAAACGCCCAACTTTATCCCACTTTAACAATTCATCTTTAAATTAGAAAAAGTGTATTATAAATAAGATTTCTTTTTGAATGAGATAAAATATTAAACTCTAAAATGAGTTTTAGTTAAAATTGAGTTTTAAGTAAAGGTCTTTCTGTGACTAAAGTACCAGCACCCAGTCTTCCCATGCGCCTGTGTGCGGTGCAGGGGAAACTGAGGCGCGAAGTAAGGATCTGTTGAACAAGTGTGAGGTCACGGAGATTGGCAGCTCAGAGAGCAGAGTGTAAGTACTGAGAAGAGCTGAGTTCATCTCTTGTAGAGCACCTTTTCTTTTTTAAAAATTTTATTTATTTTTATTAGTCTGTGTTTGCAGTACATGAAGTCTGCACTCCTCGTGTGGCATTGGTACATGTGCAGAACACACCTTCATTCCTTTCTTCGTCCCCCTCTCTCCCCTCCCTCCCTCTCCCGGTCCCTTTCCCATCTGAGAAGGCTCCATCTCCCCATTTCCTATTATCTGTCTTTTATTTTGCCCTGTATTTATCCTTTGGGTTTCTCATATAAGAGAAACAAGGTGGTGTTTAAGCTCGTGTGTCTGATTCATTTCACTTAACGTTGTGGTCGCAAGGTGCATCCATTTCCTACACATGACTCAAGTTTATCCTTCTTTATGGCAGAGTAGTGCTCCACTGTGTGTAAATACCACATTTTCTTTATCCACTTATCTTTCAGTGGACAAAACATCATTTTACACCCCAAACCTCCACCTCAAACAGAGCACAAGCAGTTAGGGGCTGACGATGATTCACACATCCGTATTCTCTGGAAAACTGCACTGATGAGAGAGACAAGAGAGGAGAGGGGAGGGGCAAGTTCGGAGGTCCAGGACCCCTGGGCCCCCAGGGCCACACTTAGAGAACCACAGTGTGGACGTCACAGCTCTGGACGCCAGGAGCCTGCTTTGTCCTCAAGCGGGTGTGGTGACTCCGGGTCTGGCCCCGCCCCCAGCCCTGTCTCCTCGTGACCTTAAGGGCGGCACCTTTAGTCGGGTCCCCTCACCCCGACAGAGGCTGTGAGAAAGGGAGGGCGTGCTGCCTCCCTTATGCGGAACGGCACGGAGTTCTCAGGAGGCGGAGTGCGACTTGGCTCCTGTCCTGTGCTGGCCCTGGTCCGGGCCGAGGCTGAGGACGACACAGCCCGTGCCAAAGCCAGGCGGGCTTCTCGGGCCCTGCTGCTGTGCCGCCTGTGGGAACACTCGGCTCAGCGTGTCTGGGCGGCGTGGCCCGTGTGCCATCTTACCTTGTCCGCTTCGCGCATGGCAGGCGCCTGCAGTCGGCGATCCAGGCTCGGGCCGCGGGGTTCATGTGAGTCTTGGGGTTCAGTGTCCCTGGGACAGGGTGACTGTAGAGCTATGTGCCGGGAAGATTGGCACATTGCTAGTTATGAAGCCTGCATGTTTCTTTGACGCTAAGGTGCACATTTTAATAACGCTGGAATGAGAATGTGTTTTTCAGTGGACGATGCATTAGTTTAACTGATGGCGTTTTCTATTTTTGTGAAAAAGAATCCATTTTCGATTTTGAAACGTTACCTTCATGTCTGCTTCTTTTTCTCCCATAATTACTGATGCCTCTTTCACAGGGAAGATAACAATATATTTTACTCTTAATTGTTTGTATATTTTTCTTTTGAAAGAGAGTAATAAACTATATATTTTCTGAAATTTGCATTTCCACGTGAATTACTTTGTAGTAAATAAGAACATGAATATTAAACTCCACCGATTAAGTATTTAAAAAGCAGACTTCCTTTTTTACAATGAGTTTGCTGATACTCTTTTTAAAAAAATAATATCAAGTTAGTATGAGATAATTATTTTATTAATTAATCTTTTTTTTTTGGTACTGGGTATCGAACTCAGGACCTTGCACTTGCAAGGCAGGCACGGTGCCACTGAGCTACATCCCTGGCTACTGATGTCCTTGATGATGTTTGATTCTTTTTGCGACAGGTTTATTTCCGGACGGTGGAGCTTGTAGAAGAGCCCATCAAGGGGTCTCCGGGGCTGAGCTTCTACTTCAGAATCAACGGCTTCCCAGTCTTCCTGAAGGGCTCCAACTGGATCCCGGCAGATGCGTTCCAGGAGAGGGTAACCCCGGACGTGTAAGACACCAGCCTTCCTTTCTTGTTCCCCTTTTATGAAAGCCCCACCGAGTTGAAGCGAACTTGTTTTTGCTTGCTTTAGTCCTGGGAGAAAGAACTGAGAGGCAGCATGGGATGGATTCTAGGATGACGTCAACTTCAGGGTGCACAGGACTTCGCAGCCTGAAATTCCGTTCTTCCGGCTGCTTGAGACCCCCGAAGCTGTCCTGTGTTTAGAAAACTATTACATATTTACTCTGGATAAACAAGACAATGACGAAGTGACATTGTGGATTGTGAGTCCTAGAAGAGAAAAGATTACATTCAACAGTTTCCCCAGAATGCCTTGAATATATTTAAAAAATTTAATTTTTATTAGATATGTTTGCAACACATAATGATTACAAATTCATCATGGGGAGTTGGTACAGTTTGGAGCATGGATTTGAGAGTTAGAAGCTCGTGTTTGTCTTTTTGTGTAAGACTTGTCTTTTATGAAAGAATTTAAAAAGTCTCGGGGTGGGAGCAGGCAGAGGTGAGGAGGGGACATGCGGGGTGGAGCTGGGGCAAGCTTGGCCACGCCAGGCATTGCGTGGTGCTGTCCCCGGGCTTCCTGAGAGGTGAGGGGCTTTAGCTGCCCTTGACTCGGAAACAAACCAGAAAAGGTGGCTAACTGTGCAAAATGGTGGACCCGTTAATTTGCTTCCTGTGGTTACCTTGTAATTAACTACATGTCCACCATGAGATCACATTCTATACCTTAAATATATACAACAAAACATTTTAAAAAATAAAACCAAAGTAAGTCATAAAACATTGTGGATCTAGAAAAAAACTAAAGTATTTTTCTGAGGTCTTGAGAATAGATCTTTCGATGAAAACATTTTCTAATTGGATATATAAATTATCGTATTTGTGACAGTGAAACTAAACTATGTGAAGTGAAAATAAACACATTTTACCTTATTAAGATCAGTAATAGTTTAACTTATTTACAAAAATGTACATGTGCATTGTATATTATTTGGTGTTTAGAATGCAAATGTGGTTAATAACTAAATCCTAATTTGGCTAAAACCAACCTGTAGAAATTTCCTTTTTTAAAATGTATATATTAAAAAAAAGTATATATTATTTTAGATTTCATAAGAAAATGAAATTCTCAGCTGGGCATGGTGGTGCATGCTTATAATCTCCTCACTCTGGGAGGCTGAGGCAAGGGGATTGCGTGTTAGAGGTTTGTGAGACCCTGTCTCAGAAAATTAAAAAATAGGCTTGGATTTTGTCTTACTGCTTGAGGTGGTTCTGTAAAATGAACATGCCTCCTGAGGTTTACTCAGGAATAAAAATGGTTTACTCCCTAGGAAAAAATATAAAAAATAGTTTTAAAAGCAGTGTAGCATTGCTAAAAACTTAGAAAAATGGTGTCACTGATAATTTTTCAGTTTCCTTTATGTGATACAATTGATGTGTGAATTGTTTTACCTCCCTTCTTTTCATTAGCATTATATACAAATCATGGTTTTCCAAGTGTGCTTTTCCAACAGATTGGAAATGTTTTAGAAGTTTCCCTTAATGTCCCGAAATGTCCAAATGGGCCTTGTTTTGCCGCGTTCTCCTCAGGCTGCGGCTCCTTCTGCAGTCGGCTGTGGACGCAAACATGAACGCAGTGCGAGTGTGGGGAGGTGGCATCTATGAGCAGGATGCCTTCTACGAGCTCTGCGACGAGCTGGGGGTCATGGTGAGTCCCGGGTGGGGCCTCTGGTGTCTCGGGGGCGCCGGCGGTGGTGACCCATGGTGACCCCCATCTTGTCCATGTGACTCATGGTAAACCCAGAGCCACTGCTGGTAGTGGGTATCGGAGTTGTCTGCTTATTCCAGGTCGAGACCTGTTATGCATGTGGGTTCTATCTAAGTATCTCTCTACCTACACTTCCTTTGTGATCCGTGGGTATGCATAATAGGAGAAAATAAAATACTAAAACAGTGCAGCTCTAAGGAGCTTTGATCCTCCAGAGAGGGAGTCTGCTAAAGTGGGGTAGAGGAGAGGCATGCTCAGCACTGCCCCCGACCTGCTGTCCCTGTGTCCTGAGCAGGTGAGGGCTGAGCAGAGGGGACTTCGGTCCTCCGTGTCTTCCCTGGGTCCCAGGACCCCTCGGACACTGCAGCCCTTCGTGTGGGGTGGTGGAGAGGCTGCATCTCACCCCTGTCACCGTCCCAGCACTTCATACAGACTCCCGTGACGGGAGTGTTGTGTCGATCATTGTATTGTGTAGGGAAAGGTAATGTGAAAAGTGTACGTGCTCAGGATGATGTGATTTGTTTTTTTCTTTTAAATATTTTTATCTACAGTTGGTTGCATTGAAGGATGCAGAGTCTACGGATATGGAGGGCAGTGGCCTGTGGCTCCCATTCTGACATCATAGGGGCCACGCACAGTGCTGTTGTCGCAGGGCTTAGTAATAGTCATGGTCCTGCTGACCAATGTGAGGGTCTGTGCGGCCTTGCCCTGGCTGCTGTGCCCTTACTTTATTATTTTATTATCTTCACGCCCACCCACCTCTGTCCACATTTACAGATGAGGGGGATGGCATAGCACGTTAGGAACCTCACTCCTACCCGGCCTTCACCCTTGATGGAGAAGGTGCTGGGGAAGCGGCTGCTTGGGCTGTGATTTTAACCCCAAGTGCAGCCTCTGAGGAGGGACTTCGTGGCTTCATTCCTAAACTGGACTAAAGCAGAAAATCAGGTCCTCTGTGAACCAAGTGTCACGATGTGTGGTGCACACACCTGGAATCCCAGCTACTTGGGAGGCAGAGGCAGGAGGGACCCCAAGTTTGAGGCCAGCCTGGGCAACTTAGTGACTTAGTAAGACCTTGTTGCAAAAAAAAAAAAAAAAAAAGAATAAATAAAATAATGCATTGATTTTTATCACTTGGGTGCATCTTCCAAAACCAAATGGCTGGTGAAAGTTTGAAAGTTAGAAAGAATTAGGAATGAGGAGGGTCTGGGGAAGCTTCATTTCCTTTCCCCAGTACACTCATGATTTCCTTTTTGATTTCTCTTGTGTTTTTGCCCACCTGCGTGGCCCTGGGGCAGTGTGAGGTCTGCAGCCTGGGCCCTTCTCCTCTGAGCTGCTTCCTGGGTGTGGGGACAGCATCTCCTGAGAGACTCACCGAGCACTCTGCGGCCCTGTGTTTCTTTCCAGGTGTGGCAGGACTTCATGTTTGCCAGTGCCATGTACCCAGCCGACCAGGGCTTCCTGGATTCTGTGCGGGCGGAAGTTGCTTACCAGGTACGTGGTTGCTGCTCTGAGAAGAGAGGAGATGTGCACATTTCATTTTCCCTCTTGGGAAGTGTCTTCCTTTTTCTACTTGTTCCATACCCAATGCCAAGCAAAATCACACGGTGATTTTAAGATTGTGTGCTTGCCAACATCCCTGACCTGAGCCCCATCCTTGGTTCTCTGCTGAGCTCCTGTCCCTGCACCTGGCTCCCTACCCTGGGCCAGGCTCCTCACCCCCACCCTCGCCCCCGCAGCAGTCCCTCCTCGGTGGGTGACAGTGCCGTCTTTGGATTGCTTGGGACAGAAACTGAAAGTGATTGTCAACCCAGGATTCCTTTTGCGTTCAGTGTGTACATACTTCCTGTGTATACGCACATAAATGCAAGGCCTGGCCATCTGCTGTCTCTGTCTACGGAAGTCCCAGAGACTGGTCAGCCCAGGAGCAAGTATCTTCATGTTGAGATGTCTTTCCTGTTAAGACAAAGGCACCTGCCGGGTCCCACGGCCTTTCTGGTGGGCACAGCTACTAGGGGTTGAGTCTAGGAGCTGAAGGCCAGCCTGTGCCATGTAACGAGACAGCATCTCGGCAAAAAAACCACCTTAGCTTTAGGCTGGGGGTGTGACTTAGTGGGAGAGAGGGCCCCTGGGCCCACCCTCCTACTGAAAAACAAATTCCTCTGGGCTGGGGTGCAGCTCAGAGTTAGAGCCCTGGCCTAGCATGCTCACAGCCCTAGGTTTGATCTCCAGCACTGCACAAAATAAGAGTGCGAAGCGGGAGGGGCTTCCTAGAGAGCTGGCTGATCCAAGGTTTGGAACACCTTTGTTAAGGTCATGCTGCTTATTACACCAGTATCACTGGTGGGTGCTTTTGGGCACAGACAGGTTTGTGAGCCAAGTGCTGAATGCCCTTATTTTGGCAGCTCCGGCTGGCTCCAGAGCCCGATTGTGGTACTCTCTGTGGTTTCAAGTGTTGTCAGATGTCAGCTAAGTACTCCAAACCATCCCCTGCAGCGCCTTTCTGGGTGGGATGCAGTTCCTGCCCACGACACATCTCTGGCTCTTCTGTTCCTTCTCCCTCTTGCCCTGGGCCTGGACCACTCATTGGCCTGAATGCAGCTCTCTCTGGGGAGCCCTTTCTGCAGGTCTAGACCAGGTCCTTCGCCTGTCCTCTGTGACATGTGGCACTCTTGGTGGGGCTGAGTCAAGTTCTGTCACCTGGATGACTATGTCTCCCCGAGGCCCTGCGCCTGCCCTCTGTGCCTGTCCCTGGCTGGCTTCACCATTGAGTGGACAGGCAGATGGACGGATGGTGGACAGCTTACATTAGTCACAGCTACACAAGTTTTGATGGCGGGCCTCCCCCGGTTCTTTTGTGTGCTATTGAAGGGAGGGAGAAGCTGTGGTTTGTGTTGCAGCTGAGCCTGGTGTGGTCTACTCACATCGTGCGTGTGGCACAAGATCCCTGGGGCTCTTCGCCTCCTCAGAGTATGCATCTGTGGGTGCTGAGCATCCCTAGTGCGCTGCCAGCAGATGGGGTGTCACTCTCCTGGACACGACAGAGGCAGCGAAGGGGAAGTGCCGGACTGTTTACAGGGCTGCTTAGAAAATGCAAGACTTCAGTTTTTAAAAACACCAAACATGTCTTTATTTCTTCTTTTTTATTAGATTTTAATTTCTAATGCTTTCTTCAGCAGCACACATACTGGCTTTTTATTTCTATTGGAATATGTTTGCAGTACATAATGATTCCATTCCTCATGTGGAGTGGGTGCATGGATATAACACATCTTCACTCAGTGTTTTACCCCCTTCTGCCCTCCCTCCCTTTCCTCCATCTCTTGATCCTCGGCCATTTGGCAAAAGATCTATCTCCTTGTTTCCTATTATCCATCTTTTATTTTGCGCTTTATTTGTAGTTTTGGTTTTTATGTAAGAGAAACTATGCAATTTTTAAGCTTGTATGTCTTGATTTATTTCACTTCATATTATGGTCTCAAGGTGCATCCATTTTTTACAAATGACTCAAGTTTATCTTTCTTTATGGCAGAGTAGTGCTCCATTGTATGTAAATACCACATTTTCTTTATCTGTTCATCTGTTGATGGACATATGGAACACTTTCAAGGTTTAGCTATTGCGAATTCTGCTTCTATAAACATGAGTGCACATATATCACTGTGGTATGATGCTTTTAAATCTTTGGGAAGATTTCTAGAAGGGGAATACCTGGGTCAAATGGAATTTCCATTTTTAGTTTTTCGAGGAATCGCCACACTGACTTCCATAGTGGTTGTACCAGTTTCCATTCCTATCAACAGTGTGGAAGAGGTCCTTTCTCCCCTCATCCTCACCAGCACTTGTTATTATTTGATTTCTTGATGATGGCCGAGCTTTCTGGGGTAAGATAGAATCTCAGTGTTGTTTTAATTTGCATTTCTCTAATGGCCAGAGATGTTGGACATTCTTTCATGTTTTACGGGCCACTTGTACTTCTGTGAAGTGTCTGTTCATTTCACTTGCCCATTTTTTTGTTTTTATTTTGGTATCAGGGATCAAACTCAGGACCTTGCACTTGCAAGGCAGGCGCCGGAACCACTGAGCTAAATCCCCAGCCCAACTTGCCCATTTTTTTGATTGGGTCTCTTATTTTGTGGGAGGGGTCTAGTTTTTTGAGTTCTTTCTCTATTCTAGATATGAATCCTCTGTCTGAAGAATTGCTGGTAATTTCCCTGTTCCTTCGGTGTCTCTTTGCTCTGCTGGTCATTTCCTTTGCTGTGCAGAAGCTTTTGAGTTTGCTGTGACCTCCATGGAAACCACTCTTTAATGCACCCCTAGTGCCCTGTTGCATGTTTCTGAGCTCCTCAGCTGTGTGCTTTGACCATCGACTCTGGTGACAGAGCGGCTGTAAATAGCAATGAAATTACAGCACCCGTGTGGCTCGGAGGAGCGCTCCTGCCCTGCCCATTGACTCCGCTGGTCATTGTCACCCATAACTGCCCTCCTGACAGGCACATGTCTGGGTCTCAGCAGATGGGGTGTGGTGCTCTCTGATCATGTCCAGCCTGGCGGGGCTTCCAGAGCAGTCCCTGGGCTCCTGTCCCTGTTGGGCACAGCCAGTGGCTTCCAACCTCCAAGGACCCCGGAGCTGTTTCAGGGCCCGGCCTCCCGACTACCTGTCTCCCTTGTAGGGATCCTCATGAACTCACTCGCTTTCTAAAAGCTTTTCTAGTTCTTCTGCTTCACTTTTGTATTTTTATCTAGAGATGCCATTACTATTTTGTTGTACAGATTTATGATGACTGGTGTGATAACCTGGCACAGGTGTGCAGTGTGCAGTGATCATGCCAGCGTAGTTAGCATCACTGTCTCCTTAAGTGGTGAAAACACTTTTCACTTCACTCGCAATCTTTCCACGCTGCTCTGTGCCCTCGGGGCTGACAGTGTGAGCTGAGCTCCCTGTCCCGAGCTGCACCCTCATCACGGTGGCCACACATGCAGGGGACACTGTGGGGACTCGGTCCCTTTGTGAGTCCTGGGACAGGGGTGGGTGCTGATGGCATCTGATGGGGCACTGATTTCCCCCGGGACAGTGGGACTCGTGGAAACAGGGACGCTGTGCTTGGACCGAGTTTGCATCATGTGGGTTAGCAGGGACAGCCACGTCCTCTCTCCAGAGCGCTCGTCCCACTGACTGGGTTAGGTCCATTTTCATATTAGATTTTTTCTTAAATAAAATATGAAATGATTTTATGTGTTTATTGGATTCAGTGTGATAGCCCAGTACGGGTCCACAGTATGTAGTGATCGACTCTGTAGCTTTGCTCTATGTTTGTAGTCTTCACTCCCCTCCCCGGTTACTGTGGAAAAACTGGGATCCCCTAGCCTGGGGTGCCATCTGCTCCACGCTCCCTCCCCAGAACCCATCCCTGCTTTCTATGCTGCTTGGAACCTTTTCCTGGCAATTCTGAGAATGACAGGTGGGTTCTTTCTCTTTTTAACGGGATTATGTTTTCTTCCATTTTTATACAGCAGAGAAAAGGAACCCATCATATCAGTGTATAGTAAATCTAAATAAAAGGAATGTCAGAGACTTCTTAAGAGGTGTCCCACCGCTGGCACCACTAGCCCAACTCTGATGCGTGTTTTTGTGTGTGTTCTGAAATGCAGGGGCTAATTGTGCTCTGAGTGTGGAGGTTTTTGTGTCTTCCTGAATTCCAGGTCAGGAGACTGAAGCCCCATCCGTCTGTCATCCTGTGGAGCGGCAATAATGAGAATGAGGGACTACTGGCCGTGAACTGGTTCCAGGTCCCTCCCAGCGACCTGGAGACCTATGTCAAGGACTATGTGACGCTGTATGTGGCCAACATCAGGGAGGTCGTTTTGGAAGTAAGTAGTGGTTTTTAATGCAGTAGAACTTAGGGAATGTGTTTTTCAGATGGATAAGTTTGGATATGGGTGGGTATATTTATGCACCTTTATGGTGTTGCCCTCAGCAGGATCAGCTGGACACAGTCGTGTCCTGGTCCCACTGAGGCAGCTGGAGGGACCCTGTGGACGTCTGTGATGATAACGTTGTCTGGGGAGCTCTCCATGCACATCTAGCTCCTGGGGATCTGTCCATAGGACCCTGAATGTTAGAGTCTCGAGATTCAGTGTTTTACTGAGACGCTGCCTATACAGTCCTGTGCTGTGAATGCTGGTGAGAACATGGTGTCTGTGGCCTGTGACCTGAGGGGCCAGGGGAGAGGGCAGAGCTGGCCACCAGGCCTACCAAGGCCCTTCCTCGGTGGGTTCCCCTTGTACCCCTCTGTCTGATAGACGCATTATACAACCATGCATTCATGTGCACTGGCTATTTTTGTGGAGGAGGGGAAGCAGCATTTTTCAAGTAATGCCTTCAAGAGAATTTTAAAACTTTAATGTTTGGGATGGGGATTTAGCTCAGTGGCACTGCACCTGCCTCACAAGTGTGAGGTCCTGACTTCGATTTCCAGTACGAGGGGGGCTTTAATGTTTAACGTGTGATTTAATAATCTGTCATTACAGTTTTGTGTCTAATTAGATGTTTGGTATATTTGGGTATATCCTGAAACAATTTGAAAAGGTATATATTTTTTAAAATAGTAAGATATTAGCACATAAATATGCCCAGTTGATGGCATTATTCCATTTATAAGAAGAGATGGCAGTGAGAATTCATGACAAACATAGGTTCCAGTGTACAGCTTATCTGATACACTGTGTCACGTGACATCAAGAGTCTTTCTGTTCACAAAATGGGATGGTGTCAGCTTTAACTAATAGTTGTAGACCATTATTATATAATCTTTTTACTCATAGTGTTGGTATTATGTTTTCCATATCTGATGATGTTCAGAAATTGATTTTAATACATGCGGATTTTAATTTCATAGAATGGTGATTAAGTTTCATGACTGAAAATTCTGGCTGAGCCACTTACTGTCTGTAAGTCTTGGGCAAGATGCTTAATGTCCACTCTTCCATTTGTAAAATTCATCTAGAAAGAGAGACAGAGCCCTCAGGGTTGTTCGGTGGGTTAAGTGGACACGGGACAGCAGGCCCAGGATGCAGACTCCAGCCCATAGTAGCATTCCATGAAGGCTAATTGAATCATCATTCCTGTTGGTTTCAGTTGACAAATCTTCAGACACACTTGAATCTATAATTTTAATGCTACATTCTTGAACTTAAAATATCCACATTCCGTCAGTAGTGGGGCAGTTGCCTAGCATGTGCAAGGCCCTGGGTTCAATCCCCCAGGACTGTAACAAAAAGAAAATAAGCTTCCATGTGCCAGTCCTACATCTCAAATGGAAATACCGTCCCTTTCTTGCAAGGATCCGTGTATCTTAAGTGAACTGTGAGTCCTGATTGATGATTGCAAGTTTCTTTGAAGATGGACAGTGTTCAAGGCTTCCTAGTCATCTCTGTGGTTGTCTCTGTCAAAGTGAAAGGCATTTAAGGGAAAGCCTGGTAAATGGATCCATCTCACAGTTCCTGTGAGGGGCTTTCCTTTATGGCCATTTTCTCAGGTCTTCTTATGGTTTTCTTGGCCCAAACAAATGCTCAAGACTGTTACCTAGAAAGAAGTCATCTGTGAGATGTGAGGCAGAAAATCAGGCCTCACCTGAAAGTAATTCATAAACAGAAACACACATTAATGCACCGTCAAGGATGGATGTTTTCAGGTAGGGATTTATTAGTGATTCTACTGAGTGGCTCATTTTACCAAATTGTTCAGAAGTCTGGAGGAATGGAGGAACGGATCAAGCTTGATGGATCAAGGCAGATGAATTGATTTCCAGTTTTACTTCAAAGGCCCCATATTTTAAAGATTCAAGAATTCTTGAGTTATCGTCTTACTGTCCTCTAATATTTTAAATTTGACTAACTCAATCCACCAAGTCCCTGTTGCCAGGCATGAAGCCTTGTTCCCGTGTTGCAAGGGTCCTCCTGTTCTTGTGGAGCTCAGTCTGCTGTCAGAGAAAGCCTGGAGAAAAATGACCAGAGTGAAAGACGTGCCGTAGGAAAGCCGGTTCCAGAATGCCGAGAACTATCGGAAGGAACCACTAATTTTAATTGGAAGAGTTTGAGAAGGCTTTCATGCGAAAGGTGGACATTCATCCAAGTCTTAGTGGTGGAGCAGAAAGTTGAGGCAGTGTGGTCCCATAGGTATTTTCGGTATAGGTAGAAGTGCCAGCGGGGTCGGTTTGTGTGGGGAGCAGGATGAGGACTCATGATTTGTGTGGGGAGAGTCACAGGCAGAAGGGCTGCTTGGGAGCAGGTTACAGAGGGACCCTGACCCATGTTTGGGGCTGGGCCCCATCCAGTAGAGTGGCCAGAGGGCACACATTTTTGGGGAGAGGAGGGACTTTATGTGACCTATGTTTTTCTGGAAGATACCTTTACTAGCAAAGGATTAGGGGAGTATGAGATTCTGGACAAGGAAATCTATTATAACTGAGAACTCCAAGTTATTGGGAACATGTGATATGCCAGGTACTACTACATTAATTACAGTCATTGTATTAATTAATATTAGACACACAGTGGCACCTTGATTCATGAATGCATTTATTTGTGAACAATTTGGTTTGCAAACAGGAGTGTTTGGCAAGATTTTGTTTTTGTTTGCAAACTCTGCATTGGGTGACAAATGCAGCTGCGGCCACCTTTCCTTTGTGGCCATCTTTTCCAGAATTGTGGAATGAATGAAGTTGTGAACTGAGATACCACTGTAAATATATTATTTGGATGCTTTATATAATTTAACTTTAGAATTACCCTGGCATGGAGGGAATACCGTGTAATCTCTGTTTCACAGATGAAGACACAGGGACTAGGGAGATTAAGCTCAAGGTCACAGAGGGCACAGATGGTGAAGCCCAGTAACCTGGAAGTGGAAATGCAGTGATGGAAACAGTGTTCGCAGAGCTGGCACTGTTCAGAGTGATGCAGTGAGGGGCAAGGTGAGGCTGCTCCTGCTCGGGTACTGGTGACCAGCACAGGCAAACGCTGGTGCACTGGTGCATTTGGGGTCCTACATGAGGAAAGGCTGGTGTTGCTGGTGGCCGGACAGTGTGGGTGGAGATGCTGTGAGTCGCCCTGGCTTCTTGAGTGGAAGTTGGTGGGTGGCATGAAGTACGCTTGAGTGACCGATGAAGGCGTGGCACCCGCAGCCCTCCTGGTGCCCGGAGCCTGTGCTGTGCTCCGCACACTCATCGAGCAGCCCTGGGTCAGCTGTGCTGGGCGCAGGCCACTCTTGGGCCAGTGACCGGGCTGTCCTGGGGTGACCCTCCAGGACCCTGAATGACTATGCCTGGCACAATTACTGGATGCAGGAGCCTGGCAGAGGTTTGAGGCCTCTCCCTCTTGCATGCCCTGGACTCAGGGACACAGGACAGACACTTGCCAAGGGGAGATTTCTGAGAGACAGGGAGTGAGCTCCTTTGCCAAGATGACTGTGTCATCCTGACCTCCTCTGAGCACCAGGTACTGAGCTATGTCCTTACAGCTCCCTCACGGCTTGGTAGCTTCTGTCACACACACGTTCCCTCTCCATGGATCCTGTCCATGGATTCCTCTCCATGGACGGCTACGTGGGCAGGTGCTGTACTCTGAGAGATGGGGAAGGGGGCACACGGCCACACAGGGCCTGATACTGCCCTGCATCCCGGTAGCAGGACCTGTGGCCAGCCCTTCCTTGTTGGAGTTGTTCAGCGCTTCCAGTCCCAGCAGGCACAGCGTGCTTTCCTTGTCCTCATTTCACAGAGGACATGCTGAGGTGCAGATCAGCCCCGAGTCACGAGGGATTTAAACTCAGGTGCCTCGGGCCCCGCAGTGTCTGTCCTTAACCTGGTGTCCGGGGCAGAGGTGATTGGCCCCAGGGAGCTCTTGGCAATGTCATAGACAGTTTTGGGGTGGCAGCCAGAGACTGCTGGGTACGGTGAGTGACCCCAAACTCATCATCCAGTCCCAGATATCAGTGGTGGCAAAGACGAGGACTGAACCAGATTGTGGGCTGATCAGAATGTGCAGTGAATAAGTTTAAGTGTAAAAGCTGTGTAACAGTCAGAGACAGGGCCATTCCCCTCAAAGTACGCAAGGGCCTCCCTCTCACTTTGAACACACTTATCCCATTGTTCTTTTTGAACACACTGTCCCATCAATGTGTTTTTATGGTAATAAATTTTTTTTTGGTACCAGGGATCGAACTCAGGTCCTTGCGTTTGCGCAGCAGGCAGCGAAACCACTGAGCTAAATCCCCAGCCCTACGGTAATAAATTTAAAACTGAACACCCATGGTGTTTTTTTCTATCACCCCTGTACCCGCCCTATGAGGGAAGAATGGAGGGAAGCTTGATCGAAAGGTCGGAGTCGCTCCGTGAGGGCCCTGGGTGGGTGGGAAGCAGCTTGGCGTTGAGAAGGGTGTGGGCGAGCCTGCTTGCATTTCTGGGACCTGTGCTTTGTTGCATGAAATTATTACCCTTAACATCACTTTATTTCTGTCCTCAGGGAGACAAGAGTCGTCCTTTTGTGGCGTCCAGTCCTTCAAATGGGGCTGAAACCATCGCAGAAGGCTGGGTGGCCAAGCACCCTAACAGCAACCATTACGGCGATGTGCACTTTTATAACTATAACAGCGACTGCTGGAACTGGACCGTTTTCCCCAAAGCCCGATTTGTATCTGAATATGGCTATCAGTCCTGGCCTTCCTTCAGTACGTTAGAAAAGGTAAACCTTCGTTCATTTGATTTTCTAGTAATTTGGAACAATAGACTATGGGTGTACATTGCTTCTGAAAAATGGTTCAGAAAACCAAATGAAATCTACCTTTTTGAGGGGTTACTGGAGATCGAATCCAGGACCTTCTCACTGAGCTGCATTCTCAGCCCTTTTTTATTTTTTTATTTTTAGACAGAGTCTTGCTGAGTTGCGCAGGCTGGTTTTGAACTTACGATCCTCCTGCCTCAGCCTCCCAGAGTGGTGGGATTATAGGTGTGCACATCCCGTCTACCTTCTTCTTCTTCTTTTTTTTTTTTGGTACCGGGGATCGAACTCGGGTCCTTGCGCTTGCAAGGCAGGCGGTGGTGGCGGAACCACTGAGCTAAATCCCCGGCCCCTTCTTCTTCTTATTTAAATGAAAGTTTAGGAAGAAGACAAGAAAAGAACTTTTTCTTTCACCTTGGGGGCGCTAAGCTCTTGTGATTATCATCTTGGGGACTCTAAATTTTCTGTATTGCTTTTAGTTGCATTCCTTCAGGAACATTTACAAGTTAAATAGGAGTTAGTGGTTGCTTAAATCTGAATTACTGTTTTGTTTTTTTTTGGTACCTGGGATCAAACTCAGGACCTTGCGCTTGCAAGGCAGGCACCGGAACCACTGAGCTAAATCCCTGGCCCGAATCTCAATTATTGTTGCACATAAAAATAACTCTTACTTGCTAGTTTCTGTGTCTCCCACAACTGTTTTGGCATGGACAGATGTTTGAGACTGAGCATCTCATTACAGTGAGAAGTGGATGTGATAATGCTTTTCTCTCTTCTTTTGTGCCACCATCACATGGTCTAACTGTAGATTTCCATGTCTCCAAAGATTCCCTGACCCAGTAGCAGCCACCCCCCTCTGCCCTGTTGTCCTACCCTGGCCCTGGTTCTACCGGTCCACTGTTGATGTCTAGACTTCCTATTCCCATGGTCCGTGTGTTCAGAACCACACAACATGGGTCCCATGCATGGCTTCTTTGACTTTGCATTGTGTGTTCCAGGTTCATCCGAGTCATACTGTGTGTCCGTGTGTCACCCCTCCTGATTGTGGAATGATATTCTGTTGTATGTGTCTTCTACATTTGGTGCACTGTATCTGTGAGCGGACATTTGTGCACGTGCAGTGTGAATGTGTGTGTGCATTGCTCATGTGAGCATGTTTTCAGTTGCACATGTCTTACCCATGACTTGGAGTTGCTGTGCCACATGCTAATTGGACGTTGAACATGAAGAACCAACACGTTGTTTCCATAGTGACAGCACCCGTTTGTACCAGGGGTCCATTTTTTCCACACTGTTGTCAACACTAGTTATTTTTCATTATAAAAACACTTCCCGGGAAATACGCATTTGTAGAAAATTTGCATTTCCCTGATGGCTGAGTATGTTGAGCACCTTTCCCATGCTTATTGGTTATTTGTCTGTCTTCCTTTGAGAAATGTGCGCTCAGCTCATTCGCCCACTTTTGAATAGAGTCATTTTATTATTATTATTATTATTATTATTATTATTATTGTCATTTTATTATTGAGTTATGAGTGTTTTTAAAAATTTATTCTAGAATTTTAAAAATCAGACATGTGGTTTCCAAATATTTTCTCCCAATCCATGGGTTATCATTTTATCAACTTGATGGTGCCTTAAAAGCATAAAACTTAATTTTGACAAAGTTCTACCTGCCAGTCTCGAGCTTTTGGTATTGACTCTAAGAAATCCTTGCCTAATCAGATAACTAATGTTTACTCCTGTGCTGTCTGCTAGGAATGTTTAGTGTTAGCTCTGGGCTGGGTGACCGTTTTACTTTTCTCCATGTGTTATTAATGTGTATCTAGATTCACTCCTGTGCCTGAGGATGGACGGCCAGTTGTTCTGATTCCACTTACCAGTGCCTAGCTTAAAAACAAAAAAGATCAGAGTGTCATTATTTAGTTTATATCCTCGACTACATCAAGAGTAAATGTGTTTATCAGTCTTGTTTCTCAGTCACTGAGAAACAACTAATATAAGCAAACTCTGAAACATCTACTGTTGTCATAGTAGCATTTTATTCCTGTTTCAGAACTATGACAGTTTTGACAAACTAATAACAAAATAATATGAAATCGATGAGAGGGCATTATAAAATGCACATAATGAATGCATTTTGATGAGGCAAAGCTTTTGAGAGAATAAACAAGTTGTAACTTTCTAGGTATGAACAAGGGAGGGCAAAGGTAGCAAATCCTGCTCTGCTGATTCCACTTTGCACAAAGTTAGGCTTTGACCAGTGACAAGTATGACGGCAACAACATCTATGACATCAGCCACACAACAAACTTTAGGCTCTTCCCCAGCATGTAGAGTACTTTCTGGGCTTGTCAGGAACTTCTAGACAAGTAGTTTCACTGCCAGCTTCCCAATTGTGACTCTTAATCCCCAACCCCGGCTTGAACTCAGGACCTTGCGCTTGCAAGACAGGCGTGGTGCCACTGAGCTAAATCCTCACCCCTGTGACTCTTAATCTTTACTTGAAAGGTCTCAGCAAAGGGAGACTGGTCTTATAACAGCACGTTCGCCCGTCATCGACAGCACCATGTGGATGGAAACGAGGAGATGCTTCGCCAGGCCGCACTGCATTTCAGGCTCCCACAAGGCCTGGACCCTGAGCGCATCTTCAGAGACACGCTCTACCTGACGCAGGTGGGTCCCATCATGGTGGGTGAGGTTCCTGGGTGGCCACAAGAGGTCACAAAGATTTTGAAGGCTTTATGTACAAAGTAGGTTTTGATTCTGCTGATTTTAAGAGCTTTGTTTTCTTCATTATGACACGCTAACGTGTGAGATTTGAAATGGTTCATTTTTGGTATTTGTTTCTTTTGTAAGAACAGTTTAAGAAATTCTAAACTGTGCACGAAAATGCTCCCTAGTTCAAGATTATTATAAAGGTTTTTCTCATTAAGACAAGGCTTTTTCTCAAGGGTGAAACACAACAATGGAACCCAGGAGGGTGCAGAGATAGACTCGTGCATGATCTGGTCACCTGATTTACTGCATTTGCCACTGTGATTCAGGGGTCAAGGACAGCTTTATCAATAGACAGTGCTGTGTCAAATGGATACTTCAATGGGACAATAAATGAACCTTGACTCCATGTATACAAATGAATTTGGGGGCCAGGGATTTAGCTCAGTGGTTCCACTGCCTGCCTCGCAAGCTCAAGATTCCAAGTTTAATCCCTGGTACCAAAAAAAAATGAATTTGGTTACTGATCAAAGATTCAAATGTGGACACTGGGAGTTTAGCTCAGTAGTAGAGCACATGCTTAGTACGCCAAGGCCCTGGGTTTCATCCCTGGTACCCCCCAAAAATAAAATAAATAAGAGTCCAATGTGAAAGGTGCTACAATGAAGCTTCTAGGAGGAAAACAGAAACATATCTTTGTGACTTTGGGGTAGGAAAGAGTTCTTCAGCCAGGCAAAGCACTGGCCATACAAGAAAATGTTGATAAATTATACTTTGCTAAAATTATGGGCTCTGGTACTGGGACATAGCTCAGTGGTAGAGCACTTGCCTCACACGTTTGAGGTTCTGGCTCCATCCTCAGCACCACCAAAAACAAAAATAGGGGTTTCTGTAGATCAAAAAACCACTAAGAAAGAAAAAAGGCAAGCCACAGATTGGGGAACAATAGTCACAGTTTATGTATCTATTTTATTTTATTTTATTTTATTTGTGGCGGTGCCAGGGTCAAATGCAGAGCCTGTGCTTGTGAAGCGAGCACTCTGCTACTACTGAGCTACCCCCAGGCTGCAGCTCGTCTGTCTGATAAAACATATGCAGAGTGAAGAAGTTCTAGAAGTCGGACAAATAAGTCAGAAAACCTATGAAAACTGGGCAGAAACCTTGAACAGGCACTTTACCACAAAGATACCCAAAGGGTCAGTAAATATATGAAAATATGCTCACTTTTATTCTTAAGCAGAGAAATGCCAAATAAAGCTTTCCCTGCTGACCCTGCAGCAGAGGGGCTCACACTGAAAAGACTGGCAATGCCAATTGTAGGTGAGGAGGAGACAGCTGGAACTTTCAGGACTGCTGGTAGGAGCGCACCTTTGTTCAACCACTTTGAAAAAGCTTATGGCAGTTTCTATCAGGGCTAAATGGTTGGTTTCCTTTGGAATGAACATTTTTACATTCAGCTGTGTGCCTAAGAAAAACAGGTGCCTAGGGCTGGGGATTTAGCTCAGTGGTTCCACCACCTGCCTTGCAAGCACAAGGTCCTGAGTTCAATCCCCGGTGCCAAAAAAATCCAAAAAACAAAAACAAAAAAACCAGGTGCCCATCCACCAACAGATGTCTTCGATAATGTTCAGGGAAGCGGTGTTCACAATAGACCCAAACTGGAAACATAAATTTCCATAGAGAGGAAAAGTTACAAACAGACTGTGGTGTATTTGTGCAACGGAATGCTATGCAGTGATAAAAAGAACAAGCACTCGTAGCACCATCAACCTGGATGAGTCCCACAGTGAAACAAGCCAGACATAAAAAGGTGTATAGGTTCCGTTGCCTTTTGTGTTGGGATTCAGGTATAGAGAAGACTAGTCCAGATGTTAGAAAACAAACTAGTCTTTTTTTTGGAGGGGCATACGGGGGATTGAACTTGGGACCTTGCACTTGTGAGGCAGGCAGCAGAACCACTGAGCTAAATCCCCAGCCCCTAAAACAAACTAGTCTTAACCAGCATTGGTGAGCACTGCTTAGCAAGGGGCCACCAGGCTTTCTGTTTATGCCCTGATCTGTGGGTGGCTACACAGGCCTGTGTGTATCACAAGATTCTGCACGTTAGTATGCACCTTAGCAGGCTTTGTTTGTTTTTTTGACATGGGGTCTCACTGTGTAGTTCAGGTTGGCCTCAAACTCATACTCCTCCTGCCTCAGCCTCCTGAGTGCTGAGATTACAGGTGTGTGGCACCACGCCTGGCTCAATATATTTTTAAACACTTCTGTAGAGCTATAGTTGACATACATAAAATTCACTCATTTTCAGTGTATAGTTACATGGTTTTTAGTATATTCCATGGAGATCATCCCCATGGTGTCCTTCTAGAATATTTCTGCTACCCCAGAAAGGTTCCTGGTGCCCACTGAGTCACCCCTTCCCTTCCTCTAGCCCAGACTTTGGTTTACCCACACTTCAGGTAGCTGGGGTCTGCAGTGTGTGGGATCAGGGCCTGGTGTCTGTCACCAGCAGAAGGTCCCAGCTGGATCTATGTTGTCCCCCGTTCTGTGACATGGTCATACCCATTTGGTCTCCGATCAGCTGATCCACATGCAGATTGTTCCCACCTCTGATCGTTGCGAATGGTACTGGTGTTCATATTCTTGTGAGTCTTTATGTGGATGTAGGTTCTCTTTTTTGGGTCTAGGAAATATATGAGTGGCATAGCTGAGTAATATGGCAAAATTATGCTTCACTTTTTAAGTTAAACCGCTGAACTGAATTTTAGATATTTTCTTTTTTTTTTTTCTGCTACCAGTGATCAAACACAGGACCTTGTGCTTGTGAGGCAAGTGTGATGCCAATGAGCTAAATCCCTGGCTAGATATTTTCTTCTTAATGTTCCCATTTTACTTGTTTTATTTGCCTATTTTCTGTGACTACACACACTCAAGATTACATGAAAGTCATTCCTTACTTACCCCGTGTTTTTGGCATTCTTGTTTCAAGTTCTTAGAGAGATGATAAGAGATGGATCCTAGTTCTATCCATTGATCTGAAGATCAGAAGTCTTTGTTAAACATGATCACATTTTAAGTTTTTCTAATCTAAACATACAATTTTTGTCCAAACTTATGCTCATCAGTTTTCTCCTGTGTGAAAATGGAAATACCTGGGTAGAAGCTGAAGCAGAAATTGGTGAGCCAAAGGGAACATCTTTTAGAAGGTGATCTAAGGATAAAGAGAATCTTAACATCACAGCAGTGGTCTCCTAAATTAGGGGACTGTCTTCATTACTTTCTCATTGCTGGCACACAATTCCCGACACCCAGAGTTAAGGCAGGAAAGGTTTATTTTTTGGCTCAGTTTATAGAGGTTTCAGTCCATAGTTGGCTGGCTCCAAGGCAGGCTGGCATGGCAGAGGAGCACTGCAGAGGAGAAACAGTCCATGGCATGGCAGGGAGGAAGCAGAGAGAGATCAAGGGAGGAGGAGGGAGATCGACCTCTGTAGGCCATGCTGCCACTGACCACCTCCTCCAGCCAGGCTCCACCTCCCAGAGTCACATTTAGCTATAAACTCATCAGTGGACTAATCCAGTGTGAGTATCACATTCCCATGGTCCAATCACCTCCCATAAAGGCTTTGTGGGAACATCCAGATTTACATCATAACAAGAGTTTTTCCAGGGTAACATGTAGTTCAGGAAGTTACCAGGCACAGAGTTAAAGGTGAGGGTGCTGTCTGCCCCTTTCTGAGTGTTACAGTTCATCTTTTAAGCTTTTCGCAGCCAGTGAAACTGTTATGATTTATAAAACAGGTCAGTCCTTGGTCATGTGTGTGTGAGAGGGAGAGAGAGAGAGAGAGAGAGGAGAGAGAGGGAGGGCTTTTCAGCTGTTGTTTTTCCTGTTGTCCCCTCTCCTTCCAGCTGTTCATTTTATCACGGTTGCTTTATTCACTTTCCTCAAGGTCCTGACAGAAATAATTGTTCTTTTCTGAGCTTCTAAGCCTGCCAGCTGCAACGATGAGGAGCAGGCGTGTTGCAGACATACTGTTACGGGTTTGCTCATGACAGGTTTTGTCAGAGTCATGGTCTGAGTTGTCCCCTCAATGTGGCTCCGGCTGGCTTACCAGGTGGGATCTGCAGTGAAAGAGCTGAGGATTATGGCTTTCTGGTTTCATGTTTAGTTCTGGATTTCTGTGACTGAATGCAGATAGGAAGTGCTAGGGTAAAACATGTTTTCCTGTGGCTGTGCCAGTAGAGCCTCCATCTTGAATCTGTGCATGGGAATGAAGCCTCTTCTGTCCATCTCCCTGACCCGTTCCCATCTTGCCCTTTCCTCATCTCCTCTCTCAGCTCTAAGAACCAGGGTGCTTGTCTGTGCGCTGCTTTTAAAGGCTTCCTGATAATTAACCTGGTGCTGTGACCATTGGCAGTCTTGCCTGAGAAAGCTGGAGGAGAGCTTCTTTCCATGTGGACCCTGTCCTGCCTTCTCTTGTCTGATAGCCACATGGAGGCTCTCTCCTCAGTTCTCCTGCTATTCCAGAACAGTCTTGCCTCATTTTCTGACTTATCTTGTCAGTGTCCTCCACAGCCCCTACTCATGCATCTGACTATGTCTTTGTCACGAGACTCCACCCCCTCTGTGATGACTGATACACCTGTGAGCACCATGTGTGTAGCTCTGTGCCAGAAGCTTCTTTTGTTTGTTTTTGGGTTTTTTGTTTTGTTTTTTTTTGGTACCAGGGAGCGAACTCCGGACCTTGCGCTTGCAAGGCAGGCAGCGGAACCACTGAGCTAAATCCCTGGCTCAGCCTCCTTCTTATTAGTGATCACACAGGAAGCTGAGCGGACAGGAAGCTGGGTAGACAGGAAGCTGTGTGGACATAAGTTGGGCTGAAGCCATTTTGTCCTGACCCTTAGCTTACCGCCCTGCTAGTACTTTCATTTCTTTCCCCTCTGTTTACTGAGCACCCCTG